AAGGGTTATAGAGTAGTTTGAGGAATAAGGATTATAATTTATAGTTGATGGTTAGGAATTAGATTTAGGGTTTTCATCACGAATTGACATCAGCTATAATGCCAATATTCTAGCTAAATGGGTAAATGAATTTCGAGCGAAAATCTAAGACCTGTTATTGTAAATCTGATTGATTCGTCCATAAATTATAGTCTCGCCATTAATTGCTTCATAGGTTGTTTCTGTTGTGAATTATTATACAATTAAGTATTCTTTAAAAATTAATTGATAGATAATCCAATACAATTAAATTTTCATAATCCATATATTCTACTTTAGTATTAGAATGATAATGAATCTCTACTAGTCGACTACTTCACTTCAAGTACTCTCTATGGCGTGACACATCGCTAGTTAATAGAATGACCTCTAGGTAATAATCTCGCTAAATTACCGAATCATGTTTAAAAATTATCTACACGGTGGTATCTTCATAAATTAATAGATTAGTGTCTCTTACTGAATGGATACAATTATATATCAGTTTAAGATATTTATGTGTACGATGAACAAAAATGTTGTATCAATTCTTTTTTACTTCTTAAAACTCCGATGAAGCATTGCGAGGACAGCTTATATTCTTTATACGAATATTCGTCAAGATTAGAACGAATAGTTTGACAGTAATTGAGCGCCGAGTATAGAGAAGTCATTATATGTGAAAATTATATTTGAAATATTCTCAGCGATTGAAATTTAAATAATTCCAACGTTTCGTCAAAATAACTTGTTTGGACTTCTTCAGGGTAATAATCGAAGTCAAAATCAATATTTCTTTGATGATCTTGATTATTACCCTGAAGAAGTCCAGACAAGTTATTTGGACGAAACGTTGGAATTAGTTAAATTTCAATGGCTGAGAATATTTCAAATATAATTTTCACATATAATAGCTTATATTCTTTTTTAAAAAAGAACGGTAATCGAATCTTTTAGAATTCAATAACATGGTTAACACCGCAGACTGATCTTAAATAGACAACTATTGGAAATCAGGAAGAAGTGGGTGATTATTTTGGTGCTCTGTGAAATTCTTCAATGGTGAACATAAGTCACTCTTCCATAGGTGATTGAACCCATGACCTTCAAGTCTCATGACAAAGCTCTAATCCTTAGGTCATTGATGAGGGGTTCAGTGGTTCTTAGTTTTCAGTGGTCATCTAACTAAGATCGGTCCTTGATGTCCCTCCAGAAATTTCCTATGCCCATTTAATAATATTCATATTTAGAATATTTTAAGAAATAATAGATACTTTGTTTTAGTATTCATTATTTTTCATTAATTTCATAGTTAACATGAAGGCAATTAAACATCATCTTGAGGATTGACTTTTTTTAAAAAAAGAACTTCATCAGTCAATCAAAGTTATTTCAACTAACAATGTGTAGATGATTAGTGACAATGACGATTACAATTTCTATGGAATGGATAGATTTGACTAGTAATGGAATCCAATATACATGTTTGGTTCTATTTGTACCTCGTCAGTTGTATATACCTCCATCTTTATGTTGATGTTTATGCTAAAAGTAGGACTTCGTATTAAATAGTTGTAAGCAAAGGCTATATTAATGCAATTCCCTCACCATTCAAGTCTCTATCATCCTTTCGCTTTCTCTCTCTCTCTCTCTCGACATACATGTACATATGAACGTGTGAATTAATTGTCCAACTGTTCATTCAATGAACTTTTTCATTTTAACAAACTAATTGTTATACACTTTCATTGTTTCATCACACTAATCTTGACGGTGGGGGGGGGGTAATGCATTACAATATTGCATTTTATAGTGAACTTACATTGAATATTAAAAGCGAGCAGGAAAGAAAAAGAAACAATACTTTAATAGTACAAACAAGAAAGAAATGAATGTGATAAAAATCACGAGGCTATTTTATGAGGAACAAAAAAATGAACTTGGTTTTTTTTTGTTCTAATTACAATTAGGATGAGAACATTACTACTATTGTTAATAATAATACCAATACTTATAAGAATAATAACACTATTAGTTATTATAATTGTAGTTGTATCCAAATGTCATCCATATCCCATTCACTTTTCTTATCTTCCCTTGTGAATTGTAAAAAGTTCTCTGATCTGAACTACACTTAAAATAAAAATTATGTGCTCACTAGTGACTAGCTTCATGAGGGAATTATCGGAGTTCTAGTGAGAAGCCGTGACCAGTGGAGCTAATCTGTGTCGCGTAGAGACAGGTGTCTACTTCAGTACAATGGAATATAATGACTCAATTTCGTGAATTGGTTGCTGTTAGACACTAACACCACTGGATGCCGGCCAGCTCAGTGGTCCAGTAGGTTGAGCGCTCCCACGCGAGACTGAAGGCCCTGGGTTCGAATCCCTTGAGCGGTATCGTGGATGCGCACTACTGAGGAGTCCTACAATAGGACGAAACAGCCATCCACTGCTTCCAGGTTTCCAACAGTGGTCTAGCATAAATCAGTTCATGATCTCAATCATAAAATACAAATATTGATCATATGATAAATAACATATTGGTCAATGGTTCCCCAAGTTGTGTAGAGCAGTCCATATTTTAAGATGTTACTATAAATGCATTTTTTTGTTATGGAACAAAACAACAAATTAACCTTAGTTACACTTTCCCTACACATAAATATACATCGTATTTTTATTGGTAGGTAAGGTTTATGTTGCTAAGGTGGATTGTTTTATTTTTATTGGTTGGCAAAAAATTGTTTTGTTTAGTAAAACTCAACAAACAAAAAAATAATAAAACTCATTTCTAGAATTTACATTATCTTTGTTTGCTTTATAATATAAATCCCATTAAAATTCATAATGTAACATAGTTATACACTTAACTCATTCACATACATATACAAACAAAGGCAACAATTAATATACATGAAAAGGGAAGTTAAAATAAGAATTAATGTATCTCTTATTGTTTATTTATTTATTATTATTTCTAAAATATGACTAAAAAGTAATAGAATAAGAGGGAGGGAGGGAGGGGGAGAGAAAAACACTTTACCGATGGGATGGTTTGATAATGGTAATAATAATAATAATAATAATAATAATAATAATAATAATAATAATAATAATAATATAGTATTTATATTCTATCTTTTATAAAGTGTACACACTGTTACCTTTGGGCTGAACCAACTAACTATCTGATAACCTAAGCAACAATGATATGGATAGTTCTATACTGGCTAAGTTTTTTTGGTAATAATCGGTCTGTATGTCTTTTAAACTGTTCAAAATTGAATTATTCAAAGAAATTTTCACTATGACAATTCTCGTTTTCTTGTTTATCAACTTAATAATTCGATTTTAAGTATTATGAGTCTGATTGATTGTGTGTTTGCCTATAACCTTTTACCAAGATTGTAAGAAATTAAGGTCAAATAAAGAAGGTGTATATTTGTGTATGATCAATGAATGAAAATGTAAAGTTCTCTCAGAGAATCTTTAAGAAAAGATAAACTATGTTATGAGTTCAGTAAAAAAGGTTATTGATTTTAAAATCTACAGGTCAGGTAAAAGGATTAATTCACTTGGGCCTTATTTCTCTTTATATTTAAATTTCTTCACTCAATCCTAGTTGCTAAGGTCATGTTAAAGAAAAGTTTCCAAACAACTGTTTTCATGTATAGTTTATATTGTGAATAGCTAGAACTTCTTCAATTCACTGCACATCTTTATTGCCCCCAAATGCTCTAGTACGGCTGATAGTGGGGAGAGTCAGCTCTCCTTCTCCAAATGCTCTCTTACGGTCACCCGTGTGCAGCCACTACCACGGGAGTCTTATTGCCTTCTCGCAGAGCGGGTGCTGTATATGAAATTGAGAGGACGAAAAGTGAATGTCCGGTGCTTTAACTGGGGTGGTGGATATGGTGAATCCACTTAGGGGAGTTGCCTCACTGACTTGTGAATTATACTTTCAGGTCATAGGCTCGGGGTGTGGCCCCCTAAGAAAACCACCTACTTCGGTCTGGGCACACGGGTAGTATCACAGCCCTCACACAAATCAATGATTACTGCTAGCCTCATTGTTATTGTGTGGTGCATATGTATTTGGTGCCCCCTCGTACCGTTGTTTGTATGTTCAAATAAATAATAAATATCTTGTATTATTTGAATGGATATGGTAAATAATTTAAAAAGTTAAATAATATGCTCAATCTCCTCAATCAAGCACATGTTACACAACGCAAGATATTAACCATTTGATTCATCATTCTTAGGCAGAATTCCAGGAGGTGGCCTCAGACCGAGCAAAGAATAAATTTAAATATTTGTTAACAGTGAAGATTTTCAGAAATCTCAACAACAATATCCTTCAACTATATACATATGAAAATGATAAATTATGATAATTTAGTTTATTGAAGCATAAAATAGGATAGGGTTATGAACCGAAGGTCCTTAATTCCAATCCCACATGCGGGATCGTAGATATACACTGCTGAGAAGTCCCATACTAAAACGAAGCAACTGTCCAATGCTTCCACGTTTTCAATGGTGGTCTAACATTGATTGGTTCATCATTTCAATTATAAAGTAGGATTTGATTGAGATCATGAACCGATTAATGTTAGACCATCACAATTGAAAACCTGGAAGCACTGGACGGCCGTTTCGTCCTATTGTGGGACTCCTCAGCAGTGCGCATCCACGATCCCGCTCGCGGGAGTCCCACAATAGGACGAAACGGCCGTCCAATGCTTCCAGGTTTTCAATTGTGATGGTCTAACATTAATCGGTTCATGATCTCAATCAAAAACTTAATAATCTCCACAACCCCTATACTTATAAAGTGGGAGTTACACCTTGTCAATATAGTGCTCTTTTTCTAAAGACTGAACATCACTGGGAATATTTCATTTTGATTTGTTAATACTCTTTAAAAATGACAGAATCATTTCTTCACATTAATCACTTTTATGTTATTCTTTATAGGTAATTAATTAATTTTTATACAAAGAGAAAAATGTTGTGCAATCTACCATGTCGAATTATTTTGATTGCTATGAACACTGTCAGCTTGGTAAGTCTCATGTATTATATGCTCTCTCTCGTACATTTCATTCAATAACAAATCAAAGTGATACAAAGATCTATGAATTGTAGTTCTCAGAAGAAATATTCAAAAGTTCACTATTTTGACAATAAAACATTGTCTAGTCCACTTATTGTTATATGCCTTATTTTGGCTATTGTTACGTAATATTTGTGTTTTAGAACAATAGAGAAGGATAGTTGAAGTTGTTAAAAACAGTTGTTTACCCAAATATTTTTTGTTTTCAGATATATCTTGAAACGTTTGAGTTTGAGTAATTTTTTTCTGATTAGCGTTTTTTTTTAGCGAGTTAGTTTTCTACAGGATTCGGTCGCTAACCCCATACTCAACCCTCCTCGTTTATCCGGTCTTGGGACCGGCAGTAGCCCCCGAAGGGACTCCAGGCGGAGTTATCTTGAAATGTTATCACAGTACAAAAACCAAGTGAACTGATATTGATTGAACAATATAAACCTGTTTATTTGTAAATAGTTCCGATTGAAAGATAATGATCAAAAGGGTAACGGGTGGAGATATTATCATTACGACGAATAGTATTTTTTTAAAATTATGGAATGACATTACCTATGTATTCAATGAAAATAAAAGGTCACTTTTGAACAGCAGACTATCAACATCTAGCTAACATTAAAAAAGTAGTCCCTGTGATGTTGACTTACCTGAAAAAAAACGATAGCGATAACTTGGTGATCAGAGCACTTGGCTATCATTCATTAGATCTCATATTATAATTTAGGCTTACCTAACTCGATTTAAACAATCAGGTAGTAGTAGTATCATTATTTCTTACATAAATAATGCAGTTCACAGGCTAGTACATGAAACTGTATCAGGAAGTCAGTCACTGAACAAACAACTCAGCGGTAATATCTCATACTGTAAATCACATAATTTATGAATGATTAATCCAAAACATTAGTGAAACAGTTTTCAGTAACTATTCAACTGATGAGATTATTTCACAATAGAAACTTTGTTTTGAGTAAAATAACATTTTTTAAAAAGTCAGTAACACTAAGTTGGGAAGAAAAACAACTGTTTAACAATAGAAATAATTCTATAACTACAATGAAGTTGTCAAGTATTAACTAAGATGGTGGTTGGAGGTAGTCAACAGTAAACCCTGGACCTAGGTCTTGTGCTACTTGGCACTCGTCAGCATGGCGTGCCTGTAATCTTAAGGGAATTGATGCTCCCTGATGAATTCGATCTCGTGTCACCCAGCTTCACAGTCAGAGACGTTACTACTGAGCTATCCGGGCCACGACTGACCTTCTGTAGGACTGAGATGTGTTTACAATTGATTGAGTGGTGATCAATGTCATGTATGTCTGTGTATTATTGTATATGACCGTGAAGCTGGGTGACACGGGATCGAATTCGTCAGGGAGCATCATTCCCCTGAAGATTAAAGATACACCTTGCTGACGAGTGCCAAGCAGCATGAAACCTAGGTTCAGGGTTTCTTGTTGAGAAACCTCCAACCACCATCTTATCTCAAAATAGTGCATACAATGTCAAGTCACCTAGACTGGTGTCCATATTGCAACTTAGTCGATAAGATTCAATCCTCACTATGAAGGACCTGACGTACATGCAATTGGTCACCACCTAATAATCAATCAATTGTAAGTATTAATTTGTCTAATGTCACAATGATGTTCTGAAACATTTCAATAATAAAGTTAATAATAGTGTACACATTTTGTTTAATTTCTAATGTAAATGATAGTTATTCTATTCATCAAATGATTATAGTTAACCTTAAATTAACTTTTTCAATCATATTTATACAATGATTTTATTGTTAATTATTCAATGAAATAGATGATCAATGTCTAATCAGGGTTTATAGAAAACTACAACATTTGTGATAAACATTTACAATTTGTTTATTGTTTAGAATAATTTTCTAGTTTTGTTATTGTTTTTACATGTCTGTATACTAAATAATAAGTTTCATGAAGTAGAGTCTATATAGTTTTATGATTTCATTGAAATGATGGACTGATCTAAAATAGATCATCATTGAAAACTTGTAAACACTGAACGACCATTTCGTCCTAGTATGAAACTCCCCATCCATGCGACTCGAATCCAAGACCTTGAGCCTCGCACGTGAACTATTAACCTCGAAACCACTGAGCCAACGTCCAACGTCGTTAATGTATAACTTCAATCAATTCACGATTATCACAAGACAATTATATAAGCATTAAATAAGTCTAACTTATTTCCAAAAAAATGAGTAATTTTCATGCAATGAATCCATACTGGTTTATCATGACTACTTTCTAGACTCTTACTACTGCAATAAGAAATATTAATTTTAAAGATTAAAAATGCCTGTTGCTGATCTTGTTCATAACCATTATGCCCAGCCATAATGAATGATATTGGCTGGTGTAGAAGTAGGTTGAAAGAAAGATAAAACAGCGAACCATAAACATGGTATCGATTCGTAAAGTCATTAGCTATTGGTCTGTTACACGTCAATGTAAATGTAGAAATCTTGCTTATGAACAACCGAACAATCAAACTCTATTAATGGAAGTAATAAGAGATATCATTCAAAATAAGTTATCATTTCCACTTTCTAAATTCTCATGTTAAACACTTCTTCTCTCATTATGTTTGTGTGAGTAGTAACAAATTAAACTGTTATACAGTTATATCAGATTATATAATGTCTATGACTGAATGATTATATGGTTCATGAATTCTTTTTGGTGGAAAAAATCCCATGAATCTTAATCTTTTTGTCCTTTGTATAATATGTAAACCATAGTCGGACCGATTCATGGAAACTTTAGTTTTATTCATATACAAACATGTGATTAAGTTCAGTATACAACAGAAATATCTTGAATAAGGGATAGAAATAGCATATTACTGTTCATAAACATTGTAAATATTTTGGTAAGTATCTAAATATAAAGTGTTGGGAAGATTTGTTTTTATTTAATCCTGAATAAATTACCTATATAAGCGAAGATAGATGTGGCTATCAGTGGAATCCAGGATGAGCGTTTCATCCTATTTGTGACTTTTCAGTTGAATGTACCTGCATCCTAGAGTTGATGTTAACTTCGAGACTCCGACCCAGTACCGTTCACTTCAAATGCCATCGCGTTATCCACACGCATCCTGGATTCCACGTTCAGCCACCATCCATTTCTGGTTATAAAGCTTGTGACTTAAAGCAATATCGAGGCAATCCATACAAGATGCACATATTCCAACAAGAGCCTGATGCAAACAAACAACATAAGGTGAATTTAAATTACTTATATCTTTAAAAAAGATTGTTTTAGTCATTTCAATGAAAGGACTCACTTTTAATGTTGTGTTCTATTGAGTTAAATAGTAATAAGTAAATAGAGTTTCGTATTACAGTTCAACTTCAAGATGGAGTTAATATGAAATAAAATAATGATATGTTACTATAATGTTTAATATTGAAATAAGATTGTGTCATTTTTGCATCCAAAATATTAATCAACTGTACTTATCAATCTTTTGAAACAAAGATTGTAGGGCTGGCATTGCTCATACTTGGAGCCTTGATGGTTTGGGGTCAAAGTGTTATACAGTCTCTATTGAATAATTTCGTAACCAATCTAATTAATCAATATATTAAAGGAAGTGATGGTGGACAAATTAATGAACTGGTTACAAGAATACTGACGTCTACTTGTAAGTAGCATGTTATATTGCTGATAAATTTTCTCATATTGTTTTGTGTTTATTGTGTCAACAGTTTATAAAGTTAACTTGATGTGTTTTTATTCATTCAGAGTAGCTATAGTCGAACATACTGAAGTTGGAGGAATAATTTAAATAACTCTAGAAGATCATTAGAAAATGATTTACGTGTGAATGGTAATCTAATTGAGACCTGAAAATATTTTTGAAAAATATTAAGTTTTCATGATATGATCTGCTGTTCATATTTGTACTGCTTGAATAACTCATCTATACGCTTGGTGATTTTGTGATTAAGTTAAGGGTAATAATTTGTACTTTTCCGATACACGGATTCTCCATGAACAGTATGTCAGTTGATTAAATTCAATGAGCAAAGAAATGCAGCAAAGCATGTACAATTTTTAAAAACATGCACGCAGACATTTAGAAGCACAATATTTCATTTCGTTGTGGAATTGATATTAGCTACTCGGGTTGTACGACCTATTGTACTCTTGATCTATTTAGTTAATTGGTTACAAAAGTATAACAATACAGTTGGTACGACTACAGTCACCGCTAGTTAACTGATTCATTTGTTGTGAGATACAAGGAGAGCAACTGTATTCACGTAATGTTGCTGATTACGAGTTTACAAGGTCAATAATATATAACATCTGCCTTGTCCAGGGTGGAACGAAGAGGGTTCAAATCTTAAACCTAATTCCTAATATCACTTTAAACTATAATCATCTGTAGGTATTATTCGTCAAAAACTGGGAAGAGTTGGATAACGATTTCATCATAATATGAGATGCTTCATCACAATGTAGTCATGGTCTTGTAGTACCCATTAATCTTCCTAACCGTTATTTTACAATTTCAAATGTAAAATATAGTCATAAACATCCATTATCATTAGTAATCACTGATTCACTCCTTACATATTTGAACTCTGTTATCATCAAATGAAAAACAGTATGGTCTTTACTTATTTCAATCTTACATTGAATGGGATTAGGTGAAAACATTATGTATGACTTAGAGACCTATGAAAATCAACTGAATCAATAGTGTACACCATATCAAAATTAAAATTCGATTTAACTCGATAAAATCATTCAAAATGAAATATATGTCACACTTTCATAGTCGAGTTACTAGAATGTTCACCTTTATTTCTCAGTTAAATATCCAGTGTATATATGATCATACAATTTTAGTCAATTTTTTTTTCTCTAAAAATCAATCTAAGCGTTGTGAACGATTTATTGTCTAAAAAAAATCCATAAACGGGACTTAATCCTGATTGCTTATTGATTGACATATAGGATTTAAATTTCCATGAATCGGTCTCTGGTTGATAGACATCTTGTAGTGTGGTGAACAGAACACGGGTGGGGACGATCGAATGTATTTAGCACAAAATGACAGGACTTGTTAATAAAGTCTAACAATCATGAAGTAAATGCTTAATATGCAAAATGTCCACCAATTGTCTCAAAATGACTCAGACTTCATTGTTCTTGCATTTTCATACTAATTGCGTCCTGTTTCCACTCTTTACTAATCGATCCTCTTGTCTCACTGCTGCCAGACCTTCTGTTCACGACTAATATCATATACTACTTATGTCAATATAAGTAGCACACACCACTGTAGTAACATAGTTTCGTTAATCAATCACCTTTGTAAATGTTATTATATAAATCCCAGTGGTATTTGAAATTAGAAGGTAATAAGAAGTAGCGACTGCAGTTTATTAAAGGATATTACGAAGAACAAAGTTATAAGTGAATCGAGCGAATTTTGAGCAGAGAGGTAGATATATGTGTGCGAGCGAATGCAAAGGTGAATTTATGATCAAATCGAATGAGGACACATCTAGGCAAGGCAAAGACTCCTAATAAGATCCGAGTACATGGCAAAGGGAATGATTTATCGAGCAATCTTTAAACTACCAATATTTAAACTAGAAAGAGATATGTCCGCAGGCTGTTACAGATGATCAAGCGTACATGTTTATACAGACAAGATAGTGACCATAATATGTTACAAAGAAATATGTGAATTGTTACTGTTGAAATACCATTATCTGTTAAGTTTATAAAAGGTCTTAACCAAGATTAACCATAATCGAAATTGATTGTAGGAGAGTTGCTATAATCTCAGAAATTGTTGAGTATAAATGTATAAGCTTTCACGTCTACATTAGATCTTGAACTTAAGTTATTCAGTTTCCACAACAAACAAAGTACAACTTAACAGTCAGTGAGCAAATAATAGATAATGTTTATTTTCAGTTTTATTTATAACCATTCAGTTTTAGTAACATCGGTGACAAATGCCTCATTCTCTATATGACTGAACATTTCCTAGTCAAATAAATGATACAGGGGGATGTGTATTAAATGGTTAATGATAGAATACTGTTATTTGAAATTTAGAAATTACTAAAGATGGGTTTCATATTTTCCATATAGAAAGAAGAATTTGTAATGACTGATAAGATTATATTTTAAGACATATCATTATTAGAATGAGTTTGGAATATTCCGTTGTTGATATTTTGACTCATTTTGGCCAGTTTTGGTTGAAATATGTACATCCTGTACCAACTGTATCGACGTAGCCATTTCAACTTTAGCTCAAAAAGCCCAACTTCTTATTCACTGAGCTACCAGACTCAACGCTGAGTTCGAGTCCCGGAGTGAATGTCAACACTGAGATGCAGGTAGATTCACTTGACGAGTCCTGTGCTGGAAGAAAAGCTCGTCTTACATTCCAGAGCATCTCACTAAAATCTGAGAACCATATAGTAAATAGTTAATTTGCAAAATAATAATCCATCGTCTCAAACGTGACCGTTCCTTTTGCAAATATCAGTCCATTGTCTCTGATTTCATTTTTCATGCATTTTCATACCAATTGCGTTCTGTTCCCGTTCTTCCCTTATCGATCTTCTACTGAAAGATATTCTATGCCTGACCACCATTATACACTACTTATGTGGATATAAGTAACCCACACCACAGTACCACAGATGAAGATATATGATATATATACAATACAGTGAAATAATTGAAGTTGGGATTGCGAACTAATAAGTTTGCTGAGAGATTAAAAAGGGCAGGGGTTTATTTTCTGTCTGAGTCGTCGAATTACTTACCTGAGAAATCGAGTACTTGAACGAAATATCAACCCTGTGCTCCCTTATTCTCAATGATTCTGTAACTAATTTCAGTCGGTCAAATAAACTATTCTCAAATCATACCAATGGACTAATACATTACCAAGTTTTATATTGGTATAGCTCCATTACATCTCTGTATAATTAATGTAAAACATGGACATTTATAACATTTTTACATGTGCTTCAGGATGTGTTCATGTTAAGAATAGGTTTATTAAATTTTGAAATCAAAGTACACACAGTATGGAAACTTATTTATTTGATTGTAGATCAGACTTCTGGAAGATCACATGTAAATAACTGTTAATATCCACAAAAATTCCCATTCTGATATTAATCAACATATGCTCACTAAAAACTGGCTTCAAGAGATATATCCTAGACTTCTAGTGAGAACCAGTGACAGTGAAGTTCAACCGGGTCTGTTGTGAGATATCAACTCACTGAAGACAATGGTGGATGTGTCGCTCAATTATGTGTATTAGTTGAAGTTAGACATTAACACTGTTGAATGCAGGCCAGCTCAGTGATCTAGTGGTCAAGCGTTTGCGCGCGAGACTGATATGTCCTGGGTTTGAATCTCGCGAGGCGAGATCAAAGTGGTCATCCAGTGCTTCGAGGTTTTCTATGGTAGTCTAGCTTCAATTGGCTTATGATCTCAACGACTAAAATTCAAATAACGTACAAGTTGTCTATGTTAGCGGATTAATGAAATTCATTTGGTGAATATAGAGTGGTTATATCCAAATCTGTTACAGTACATGTAGGATCAGTAGTGTCTCTCACTCAAATGTATCATTCATAGAATGTTTTCATTGAAATTAAACTTTAAACAAAATAAAGGATTTACGTAGATAATATAACTTACATTATAACGAGTAAATGCTAACATCCGACTGATTCAATATTCAGTCATTGTTTCAACTCAGTACTGAATTTTATTTGAACTTGTAAACATAATTTATACTGATTCCTCACTCTGACTATCTGTGAAACTCAATTGATCAAACTAATTTATTAGTATCTTCCATATTCAGTCTTTGGAACATGAATAGATTAAATGTCAACTTGAGTATGTGTGCAACATGTATTCAAAATCATTATAGATTAATGATTAAATCAATTTCATGTTGTCCAACCTCATCACCATTCACTCTATGATTTCATTTCAATACTTTAGTTTCATATGATCTTTTCATTTCTTCGACTTTCAATATTTAAGATGAAAACATTGTGTGTTTTTTTATCCCTGTACATACACTTTATTTGATTTCTTAGAAAGTGAGTACCAGCTCATCTTTCTTTCCATAATTTAGGTTATTTACGATCAATAGTTTGAGTGTGATTTATATCACCTAAGAATGAATAATTTAAGTTAAATCATAAACATAATACCCTTTATACACACCGCCCATCGTTACTACCAATTGAATAGTTTAGTGAAATCGTTAGATTGGTGTCGTTGTAATGGCTTTGCCGTTCAACTGATGCTGAGAAGATAACCTAATTTCAATATATGAAGGAAATAAAAGTCGTAACAAGGTTTCCTTAGGTGAACCTGTGGAACGATCATTATCATGAACCATAAATATATAATGAAGCATGCATCTGGCTTCGCATTAGACTACTTAGTGGTATTTACCCAGAAGCTTCAGTAATCTGACTAATTTTTCTATTCATTGGGATATTACCAATCTATTAATATATTTATAATATCTAATTGTTTTTGTATTTTTATTGTGATCTTTATTATTTCCAGCTCCAGTTGGTTTAGCAGTCTTTATATTAGGTGCTGTTTGTACAGGTATTTCAATATTTGGTTATTGTGGAGCCTGTTGCAATATGAAGATACTACTTTATATAGTAAGTAAAAATAATAATAATAATAATAAGTTTCATTACATTAAAAATGAAAATTAATTAATCAATTTTTTTTACTTTAATTGATCATTTAGTGATAAATAACAATGATTAGCCCCCCCCTCGCTACTTAAATAAAGTTTATGAATGTTAATGAGTATTTTGTTTTTCATATTTAGTTTTCCAATTTATATCCGTTACAAAGAAAGAACCACATTGTTCTTTTGATTCTATATTTAGTAGTTTGACTATAGTTGGTCATTATAATGACTAATTCAATATAGACTTTTCATATGATTACAATTAGTATTTGACTGAGTTGATTGACTGAATGAGAAAAAAATATACCTGGTGATACCTAAAAAAAGAAACAACGGGGTATAAGTAATAAATAAGAACTTTCGTCTAAATTTAATCGAATAGTTTCACAGTATTTGAGCACCGAGTTAATGTGAGACATTAAAGATAATTCCTTGAAAAAAGCTTGGACCAGATTGTTAGGCGAAACGTTGAATTTACTTCAAAATTTATTCGCTGAAATTTTACAAATACATTCTTCCTCTTTAAGGGGTATATGGTTAGGATATAATCTAGTTTTTTTCTACAATTTATCATGAGTAGTGAGTATATGTGGAAAATGATGGTTAATGGCCTATACACCTTCTTAAGTGGTAACAGGTGTAAGTAAGTAAGTAAGTTATAAGTATGTAGTTGTCTTACCAATGAGAAACAAGCTAGTTTACTAACCACTAAAAACGAACTTAGAGTAAATCGTCTCATTAGTTCAAAGGGTTGGGAATAAACTCCACATTATCAAATCATTTAAGTGAATTGTGTTCAGTGATTACAGTTATGTTTTCGTTTATTTAGTCTCTCAATATTAGACATTTTTGAACAATTTCTACTATATAGTCAATTAGAGGTGTGACTTTTGGCATGTTGTAAGTTTTCTTCCATCATGACAAACTGCGTTACACTTGACACGTCCGTAGCATAATAGAGTGGTATTTTTGTTGTAGAAAACTCTATATTTTTCATTTAATCAAGAAAAGACGATAGATAACGAAACACACCCTCCATTATGGATCACGATGACGTAAGTAATAATTCTCGGTTCATTTTGGTTGGTTCGGAGGTGCAAAGTCAGATTTGTGAACGAGAGCGGAGTTTATCCCTACCCATCTCATCATGCATTTCCACACTACTTGAGAAAACATGGGACTTCTATACTTGGAGTAGATTGATTATTCTAGCCAAATTTATAGTTTGAAAAATGATAAAATTCACAGAAGTGATAACAGAGGAAAACCGAGTACTTAATTGCTTCTTAACAAAATTGTTCAAACGTACTTTAATCGATATATTCGACTGTATTATAAATATATAGAAATATATATTAGGTCAAATTTAACTGTGTTAGAACTCCGTGGGATCTATTCGCTTGCTTTTGAGATTCTTTAAAATCAGTTACACCTTAACTCTCCAGATCTATATTCGTCACATTATCAAGCCAATTCTATTAGTTTGACTGCAATACTAAACCCTTAGTTGATAAAATACTGTCATCCCTTAAGATCAGATAGAACGATACTCGTCAATAAATATTTAGTTTATAGAGTGAAACAACACGTAATTGGTTAAAGCTACACTCATATATTCCTGTTTAAGAAAAAAGCAACATGAGAATTTCTTTTCGGGTTTTGATAGTGGTAGAAAATAAGGGAAAGCTAGGCTAAAAAGTATTTTCATTAACCCGGTTATGTTTTATGCAAATAAAAAATTATGAATCAATTCACTGATTATTGAAATACAAGCAAGTATTGTGTATATTTACTACAAACTCTAGGTTTCGATTCCTACCTAACGTACTGTACTGTTGCATGAATAGAGATCCGTGGATTAAAATTTGAACTTATGACTGAATTTATGAACTACTAATTTTCTGAGTGGTGACCTCAAAATTGTATATATATCCCACTTTCTTTATGATAGAATACTCACTGAACAGACCTCTCGAACTTCTATATGACTAGAAACGAGAATAGCTGAACTCGGAGACTTTAAAAACATTGATTTATAAAAAAAGTCGAGTTCACGAAGCAATCTAAGTTAGACCACTATTGAAAATCTGGAAGCACTGTATGGCCGCCTCGTCCTAGTACATGAGTCCTCAACAGTGCAACATCCCGGTACAGCGGTCTAGAGGTGGTGTTAGCGCGCGGAACCGGAGATCTCGTGTTCAAGTCGTGCGTGCGGGATCGTGGATGAGCACTTCTGAGGAGTTCCGTTCAGTGCTTCTAGGTTTCGAACGGTCGTCTAGTTTAGATTGATTAGTGAATTCAACTTTGAAAATACTACGATCTCCACAAATCCCCAAAACTGATTATGAAAAAAGTGGATAATAATAACAATTACGGTCTTATGTTTTTTAAATGCCTTGTAAATTCTGACTTGATATGTACAGGTAACGGTTAGCCATTCGTAAATAATTGTGCACAATAACCAGAGGCACTAATATATTGAAATAGTTTTAGGATCTGCAATGCACTACATTACTTAATGACAGAATATTAATCGGTTCAAATAATAATAAAATATTTAAATAGAGCAAGAACAAACATTGATGCAGAATAGTATGAATTCATATTATTTCGAGGTTTCTCGTCAGCTGCTTACAAACCAAAATTGTGATAGAATTTTTACATGGAGATAGTGTGAAACAATTGACATAAATGAGTGTCACTACCCTGGTAATCTTTTTGTTTCTGTTTGTTTTGTGTTTTGGTTATTTTATTCATTTACTTATTCTAAGATAATTTATACTCCCCCCTATTACCTGATTCTAAAAATAAAAATAAAAATAAATTTTATTCACACATTTCCGTCACCTAATCCTCTTAAATCATCTTAACTTTCCAAACCCTATTTATTTATTATTACGTAATCTACCTTATCATTATTTAATTCCATTAATCTCTACAATTATCACACAATTTATTACACCACCCACCCTGGATTAACCCCCCTCTTTTGACCTCTGACCTGTTTCTAGCATATATATATATATATAGTTATTATTGTAATCACGTTATTTACACTCATTTATGTCAATTGTTTCACACTATCTCCATGTAAAAATTCTATCACAATTTTGGTTTGTAAGCAGCTGACGAGAAACCTCGAAATAATATGAATTCATACTATTCTGCATCAATGTTTGTTCTTGCTCTATTTAAATTCATAAAGGGAACTAATTGCATAATAAAATATTAGTTACTAGCCACAAACTACTGAATTTTTCATATAAGTAATACCCCGTGTTTTATTTCTTTTGTTCTATAATTATCATTAACGTTATCTATATGACGATTAATTGTCTGATTTATATTCATTTCCATTTAGTACGCAATTATAGTAGGAGCTTTGGCACTTGCTTTTCTGGTTACATTCAGTGTGTACTTCTCTCGTAAAGATGAGGTAAGTTCTACAAATTTTCTAAACTGAATCATTCAAAGTTATGATTAGTAGATTGATTACACATTTTCATTTATTCGAAAGACATAGGTTCACACTGGAAGAAAGAAACTTTTCAAATAGAAAGAAATCAATGTCTAGTGGTACATAAACCGATATAAATCCCTCGGAAAACTACTTCCATGATTATTTATACATCACAAACCGTATCATAAAATATTATAGATTCAATAATTCAAGGTAGTTCTACTACTAAAGAACAAAGAAAAAGAAAGTCATTGAAGTGGATGACAATAATAATCTGATAAGTTTCGGTTAACTCACTTACCAGTTTCAGGCTTATGTCTCTTAAGTTTGAACCACTCTGTTTATAAATGGGTTAGTGCTAATAATTAGCTGCCTATTACCGAGGTAGATGAAGTGGGGGGTTCGAACCTGCAACGTACTACATGAAATGTAGATTATTTAACTAACAAGTTACCTCCTTCCAATATATTAATGACTGTTTAGGTTGAAAGTGTTTTGATTTGAACCACCATCAAATATTCATAGGTATTTATAAATAATTGTCTGATCCGTTGGCTAGATACCATTAGCAATAACCTACTGAAACAGAAAAAATCAGCTTCTAGCTGAATAGGAAATTAAGAGGAGATGCTGGACGTGAATAAGACACACATTGTGGAAATCACCAAAATACATCACAATGCGATTGCTAACTTGGAATTCTCAACGGAAAAAGAAAAGAAAAATAAAACAAAACACATATGGTCCCAGGAATTATAGGCATACATCAAAAGAGTGAAAAGGAGTTGGGGGAAAACTGGGAAGGGGAAACCATGACATAGTTGGGAGCTGAAACAACTAGAATCAAAGAAGTATAAAACCTATGCAAACATCATATGTATTTAAAGCATTCATAAAATCACAGGTTTGTTTATCTGATGTTAGATGAAACCAAACTGAATATTCAATGAAACAAATATGGGCAAAGTTATTCCACAAAATTTAACTGTTATTTTAACACTTTTTAACATCTAGATTGGCAACAAAGCAGTTGAACTGTTCGAGACGAGTGTAAAGAATTATAAATCAATGGAAGCAAATACACTGGACAGTCTAGTGGTTGGCTTAATCTCACCTCCAGTAAGCGCGTGTACTTCATGTTTTTTTTCTGAGTAATGTGTGTGTCCACATTTAGGCATCAAAACCAATATAGATTTGAGGTGTTAAACAAGTCTTGAACAGAGAAGAATATGATTTATTGATTACTACTCCCTAGTTATTGTTCAAAATAAAAGCAAATAATTATTTTAATATCAATGAATCTAGTTTTTTTTTCTTTAATTATTCAACGACTAAGTTTTATTGATGTAGAAAGGTCCTTATTTAGCAATCTTGGATAGGAACCGCACCCTTGACTAAATGTCACATCTAAGATCCTGATTACCCTAATTAAATTCATAATACGTAATGACAAGCAAATCCATATTCCTAACATTGTATCAGGGCTACGAATTATACCTGGCTAGTGAAGCAGAAAGTAAATGAAGTGAGATTCGAATCTTTAACCTAGTTATTGCCTGACAACTGTTATACTCTTCAAGTCATCACAGTCTTCAAAATTATATGTATAACCTAGAAGAAAATACTTGATCATTGTATTGATCTTCAGATGAAATAGGCTGAATCAAACATTTTACAAGCTAAATCATACAGGTTCCTGGTGTGATCCAAACATACGAGTTTTGAAAAACTTAATGGATCTTTATTCTTAAAATGTTTATAGTGATTCAGTGCAAAGAGTTTATAAATTTATTCATATTTAGTGTTCTACAAATAACAGATAGATTATTATGCGTTTAATTATACAATAATTCTGTTTAACCTTTCATCAACACATAATATTTTTCATTTTTTTATAGCTTCAATGCTGTGGTGTGGATGGTGGAAGTGACTTTAAAAATTCACCTAATTTCTGGAAAAATGACACTTACGGTGGTCAAACATATACTAGTAAGCGTTTCTCCTATTTACTTTGATGTCTTTTTTTACTCTGCTTCAAAATGTGGCTTGAAGTGCGGTCCAGAGTCAACAGACTAACTGACTTACAACCACTGTATATACATATTTTAACAATAGAGGAAACAACAGCTTATCTTTAGATTAATAAAATTGATACCAAGTATTTCGTCTCCACAAGTTATTGTATGTCCAGATCATCAAGACCTCTTAAAGTTCATTTTAAAAATGAATTGTTTATGAATTTATTTTAAAAAATTAGGTAACAGTTCAATTGGCCTTCAGCCATCCTTCATAATTTTCAAATAACCTGACTTGTTATAGATACAAACAACCACTTCTAACTCTTAGCGAGTTCAAAAGGACAAAATTTAACTTAAAGAGGATGAAAGTAACAGGGCTTAATGAGTTAACTCTATTTGTCTTTAGTTTTACTAACTAGTTTGACTATGCTACCATATAGACGTTGAGAACTGAATGGAACTCCATTTGACTAATTCGTCATAGAAGTACACGTACTAGTAAAGGCAGTGCACTCAATCGCAAATTTCTCAGTCAAAGCCTATGACGAAATGTAGTCAGAAACGTCACTCTCAAGTGATGTTCTTCATGATTTTCAACCTTTCTCCTCTTCAATTAATTTTGTCGCAGATATCTTTCTGCAGACTACATATTCTTTTTGATGGGGTTTTGTTCTCTGAACTAGATGGTTTGGTCGTGGAGCTTTCATCGTTCTTATGAATGACATCACCAGCACAAACTTCAGATAGAAGTGAAGTGTTCGAATTTCTTCATATGTAGTTCACAGCTTTTCCTGTACACCTTGATGTTGATTGGTGCTTGTTGACATTACACTTTCTTCATCTAACCTTTAAAAGATTGATCTCTTAGGAGTAGGTTCTCGTATTGACTTTGAATATGTTGATTACATAGCCATATTTTGTAGAGACACTGACAAAATACAGGGTCTTCCGATCATATTGAGCAACAATGAAAGTATTTTCGGAATGTTCTTCGTCCCTCCCAAATGATGTCATCATCAGATCACAATGGTTTTTCAAATGTGCTAAAGATAATTGAAAAACATATTCTTTGTAAAGCAATACTCATAAATTATGGCCAGATTGAGGTATACTACGGGAAGATATATCTGATTGGTTAAAGGATTCATATTTCTTCATTTATGATACACAATAATATAGACATTGGGTGAAAACAATATCAATAAACTTAATGTATATACAGCTAGTGGCGCCCAAATAAAACAAACTTTTTGCCTATGTATTGCCATAATATACATTAGTTTAATTAGAATATTGCATAATATTGTAAATAAAATTGTGTATATTAGTATTTCACAGTTGTATAAATTACAATAGTTTTCCGTGTAGGTGTTTATTATAATCTTTGTTCTCTTATGAGTATTTTGTCGATCCATAGTAGATATTTTTATTAAATGTTGTCAGTAGTAACATGCTTGTAGCAATCATTTTTAGAGTGTGTATTTTTATGTTTTTATCTAATCAGTTAAGGTTACAAAAACTATCAAACATTACTAATAGATATATATTTTTTCAGTGCCTCCAGGTATTACCATGGTGGTCTAGCTTCAACTGACTCATGATCTCAACTATTAAAATATTTCTTGTTATATCCTAATGAGTAGAAAAACTTTATTTCTGACGTTTCGTCACTTAATGTAAGCCACTTTTTCAGAGTAAGTAAATAGCCACAAGTTTAAATAGTACCAGGGAAACAATACATTGAGTTATTTATTTACTCTGAAGAATTGACTTACATTAAGTGACGAAACGTCGGCAATACAATTTTTCTACTCATTGAGATATAACAAAAATAGATTTATTATTCACTCTCATTTTGTATTGTCTAAATATTTCGTATAAGTTCACTTCATCTCACAACATTCGCTGTACTGGCTTTACACGTAGTTAGTATAATGATTGATTTGAGCTATTTAGCACTTTGCACAAATAAACCTGTAACAATTTACCCCAGAATATTCAAGCTATGTGATTAAAACGATACTATTCACTTACATAATTGAAATCTTGTCCAACCTACGTCAAGTATGTCTCACTGATTCCAAGCAACTCCAGGTTGTATCTCTTCATTTCTACAGCGATTTGGAATACTCTCCTGGTACGGGCATTCCATCTACCTGAACTAGTTGTTTCTCTGGTTGTCGGAAGGGGCATCGGCCTCATGACTTCCGAAGGAACTCGGCTTTCATCATGAGGCGTCATAACTCTTCTAAATGAAGACTTTCTAACTCCCAGGGCAGAGTTTAAATGGTTTGAGTTATTTTTTCTGGTTAGCGTTTTTTAGCGAGTTAGTTTTCTACGGTATAGGGTCGCTAACCCCATGCTCAACCCTCCTCCTCTATCCGGGCTTGAGACCGGTAGTAACCCCAGAGGGGCTTCAGGCGGAGTTATAATTGAAATCTAACTAGTCTTTAATCATTCACCACCTGACATTATCCTCTGAGGAAACTTATCTTCAAAATTGAACATTCATCTCAAAATAGAAATTTTATTTGTCTCATCAAACTTTGGAACACTGAATGAATTTTATTCATTAAATCCGGAATTTATATATCTTGGTTAACAATATCATCTACAATGAATAAAACTGTTGTTTTATGAATAATAAATTATATACCCTTCCTGTTTACTTTCATTACAACACATAGATATTGAATATCCTGTACCGTGTTGCAAAATGAATCAAAATTATGCAATCAGTGATTCTACATGTCCAGGTCAATTTAATGATAATAACAGTAATTATAAAAATGGTTGTAGAGGTCCATTGAAAGAATTTTTCCTTAAATATATGGATTATGTAGCTTATGGATTAATTGGGGCATTTGTTTTATTGGTAAGTAAAGATAAATCACAATAATGCTTTTGAAATTAATTTCAAGTTTGTAATTGTCTGTCACTTTTAAACAATTATTAGGTGTTAGTTCAATACAAACAATAGAAACATGGATTATGAATTTGTTTCTTTTAGACATTTACTTACCCAGTGAATCTGAATTATGGTGAAGCCGAGGACGTGATTGATTTTGGCAGTTTTAAACTACAGTTCTGAATTATTTAACTGTTCATATTGATAATATCTGATTTCAGTTCAATTCATTTACTTAACTGATAACTAAGATCAAAATGTAAGGATAAAAGGAATTAAGGCGAGACTCTAATTTATGGACGAGCTAATCAGAGGCGTTTTAGAGATTTCAAGGTTACGGTGCCAACTTCAGTGCTTAATGCTAACGTACGATCGGTTCACAGGGAATTTTGTACAAAACGTGATAATTGAGCAGCTATAACAAATAAAACGGTGAGACTATAATTTGTGGACGAATCAATCAGGTATAAGATAATAGATCTCGAATTTTAACGCGGAAGCCTTTCATCCATTTGGCTAAATAAATTTCTGGCATTATAGCTGATGTCAGTTCGTGATGAGAACTCCATATATAATCCCTAACTAAGGTAAATTACGACAATTATTGCGAACTGCATAATAAAACCACCAGTAACACTGGCTGCAGCCAGGTACTACAATATATATGGATGGTTGGAGAATGTGTAGACTACTACATAGGCTTGGTTATGTGCATCGTGTGGTTATCCACAATTAGCATTTTGTGCACTCAACAACCGGAGTGCATATAAACAATATTGAAGCTATGTGGTCGAGGCTGAAAGAGTTTTTGAGACCATATCATGCCTCCAGAGGCCGACTAATGTGTAACCTTATGGATGGTTTCCTCTACTGCATGCATTACGATTTTAGAACCTCTGAACCTCTTTCTAACCTTGACAAGTTTTTGAACCACGTATAAGAAGTGTATCCACTTTATTTCCTTGGTTTTGTATAACATCTTTTGCTCTATACTGACTGTTTGCCGATTGGCTAATATTTCCCAAGGTCACTTAAGATTCGTTCAAAAGTCGTCCATAAATTAGAGTCTCGCCGAAATTCATATTTATTGAGAAATAGTTTGTTAGATAGAAACTGAGTATAATTTCTAAACGTTTCAAACTTACTTCTTGGAAGAGAAAAGCACATTTAATTTTTAATAGCTCCTGAAAAACTGAAACAATCATTGTTTTTAATCTTCGATTGATGTAAAGGACATTAGCATATATGTATTCTGTATGGATTGCTTCGATATTGCCTTAAGTTACAAGCATTCTAAGCAAAGATGGATGATGGCTAGACGTGGAATCCAAAACGCGCATGTATAACGCGATGGTGTTTGAAGCGAACGGTACAGGGTTGGAGTTTCAGAGTGAATATCAACTCTAGGCTGCTGGTTCATTCATCTGACGAGTCTCAAATAGGATAAAACGCGCATCCTGTATTCCAATTCTAGCCACCATCCATCTTTGTTTATGAAACAATTATATCATCCATATTAATCTTTTTTTTGAGAATTTAAGCGGTATTTATATGTATTCTAAGTATGGTACAAATGGTAATCAGTAAGTTTTAGGACATCTGCACTTGTGTAAGTTGTCAGTATTGCAAGGTTTATGAATATTTGAACAAAATGAGACTAATGAAACCTAAACTATAAACAATGTTGCTTTACCTGAATTACAACATTTATGTTCTAAATAAGTTTCACTATTACATCAGTTATAGTTTTATACAGAATTCTGATGCAAATATTTTTTAACTCGTCAGATATGAATAGGATACTGGTTGAGTTACATTAGCATCCGTCTATAGTTGTTCAACGATTGAACCTTGTATTTATCGATATTGGCTTTCATATTGAAGAACCACTACATAGATAGTGCGTTAACCATTCTTTCTCTACTCGTTACATAGTAAATTTATTTCAAAGTTAGGTACAAAAGTTTGTATTGATTAACTGGAATGTACAAATATTCATGCTAATAGATGAATGAATATGATTCGAAAATGTACTCATTAATTATTTTAAAAATAACTGTTATCAGCTAAGATGTATAGTGGTTGACAGTGGAATCCGCGACGTGCGTTTCGTCCTAATCGGGACTCATCAGCTGGATGTACTTGTACCGCAGTTTTTGTTAACTCCGGGACTCGAACCCGGTACCGCTCGCCTCAAGCGCCATGACGTTATGCACTTAGCGCATCATGGACTTCACTCCTAGCCACTATCCATCTTTGCTTATAATGCGTGTAAATTAAGTCAATATCGAGACAATACACACAGTATGCACATATTCCAATAAGAGATTGATCAATTGCAGTTCTAAACATTAATGGTAATATTCAAGTAAAACAATACGAAGTGAATTTAAATAACTGTTGTCGTTTTCTATCTATTTTTAAGATATACAATCTTTGGAAATTTCTTTGATAAACTCTATAATTTATGAAATTTTTTAAAGTATAGATGGAACCCAACATCATTGAGAATCTTAGAAGTTATAGATCAACACTTTCATTTATTAACTAATTATATTGTTAAATATAAATATAATTAACAATTTCACAAGTTGAAATCATGAGTCAATTGAAGCTAGACTACCATGGAAAACCTGGAAGCACTAGACGGCCGTTTCGTCCTGGTATGACTCATGATCTCCACAAAACCCATTCTGATAATAATCAACAATCTTGAAGATGACTAATTACCTAGATTGTTTGTATAAATTCAAGATGTATTTTCATCTTGAACTAGTAACAACATGAAATTATTGCTTCTATGAAGTTATAAGCTACAAACAAACAATTGTCTTGCATTGTCTCTAGTTGCAGTATGGGATCTCCCCATACTAATCCATGATAAGATTTATGTTCAAAGTAAATCATTGATCATCTATATTCCAGTATCAAACATTTGTTTCTTTTTTTTTCTTTTTTTCCAGTTGCTCGTTGTTCTATTCACACTTTTAACCATTTGTATTGATGTTATCTGAACAAACAAACAAACAAAACCGACAAAAAAAAACAAAACTAAATGAAATGGAATTCAATATTCAATTGATTGTTTGTCTATACTCGGTTAAGAGTTGAATACTCAAATAAAGTGATCTCCTTTGTTGGACTTTGCCTTTATAAAACAAAATAAAGTTAATGCCTTTGCATAGTTGATGTATACATCTATGCTTTTATGAATGTATGTATGTATGTATGTATGTATGTATGTATGCATGTAGTTGACAGGTTCACTTTTCACACTTCCAATCTCTTCATATGACTTATTTTATAACTATTATTATTATTATTACCATTCATTGTATCACTGCTGTTAGTATCATCATCATTCCTATTATAATGTTAAATAATCAACCATATTTCATAGAATTGAACTGATATGGTGATGATGATGATCATCATCATCATCATCGTCAACCTTGTTTATTACTTTTCTTTTTATCTTTCTTTCTATACATTCATATTATCATTAGTTATTGTACTTTGATTATGTTTAATTACAATGAATGTAATTTATATATAATTATTATTATTATTATTATATTATTGTTATACAATTTCATTCAACTCTTACTGATAGTGTTGTTGTATGCTGAAATACAATAATAATGTAATAAGGTGGTTACTTGTACTCAAATAAATACATTCCCTCTCTCTCTCTCCTTTATTATTATTATTATTGTTTGAATAAGTAAGTCTTTATGGTGTCGGGGAAATGAAAACAAACAAAAAAAGAAGCTTCTTTCTAAACATTTATGTTAGTACTTAATAAATAAATAGACATGTGAATTTGAAGTGACTTTGTTTTCTTTCTTGTTCATAAATTTCTAAGAAGTTTATATTAGTATACTTGGAATATAACTAAATCATGAAATCCAGAATGGGTATTTCTTTCTATTTAAGACTTATTAAATGGATATTCTTGAATATTAGTAGTGATATTAACATTGAGGTTTTAATACAGTACTGATTACTTTAAATTCTAACTTATTAACCAACAACTTAATGAGTTCAAATAGCCTTTTGAATGATACTTCCCTATAATAATGTAGATTATTCATTGATAGTGATTACTGACAGAAAAGAAAGAATCAACCAATTGTTTTGTAATTTTTTTCAGTTATTTACACCCATGAACCCATTTAGCATTGAGTTCCCGACCGTTGTTGCTACCTTGACGTGGTGGTCAGGCTTGCCTATCGTAATGAAGTAACCGAGCTATATTGTCTGGAACAACCGTTCCTCAAGGTCCTACTATGTCAGACAGGTCGGTTGACGAGCAGTAAAGCTAAAAGCAACAAACCTAAGGTCCGTAGGCGAAGTCGTACTGCTGAGTGTACAGAGGTGTGACAGCAGTAAGGTGTTTCCTTCAGACAACCAGCATGACAGCGATGCTGCCTTCCCACAAGGAGGGGTGGGATTAGAAAAGGTCGACCCTAAAAGTGCACACCTCGCCTTATCCCACGGATATCCGTCTCCGGCGGTCAGGTCTCAACAAGTACGGAGCTAACACGAAAATTACCCATAAAAAGGTTGTATGTGACCGACCTCAAGCAGTTGTCTCTTGGGCACTGTGGTCACGCTCCCAGGTCACTAAAACCACCTCTAATCCAATTTTCTTTTCAGGTTCCTGCAGAAGAACTCTTTCACGATGTGGGAAACCGGGAAGTGATAACCGCCCTCATACCTCTAACAGCACTCAAGACTGACTGATAGCATTGAATTAAAGCATTTAATTAATTTAAGATAGGATGATCCTATTTAAACAGTGAATCAGGATCTGGAGACTCATATTTTCCAAACTTTTTGATAAGACATCATCGTATTATGATGTCTAGTGTAGTTAACTGAGTTACTTTCAATTAGTTTGAATCCAAAAGTCGCAGTTTCCTACTAAAATTTCAAGGAATCTATATAAAAAATAATTACTGAGGAACGAGCTGTTAATGTCCTAATTGGTTAACTATATATTCATCAATGAACTTTAATCAGTTGGTTCTTTGAATCTTCTCACAGATGTTTAGACTGCAATTGACCAGTCTCTTTAACCAGTCGTCCTCATTTGGAATCGTCAGCTGGATGTGCCTACATCCCTAGGCTCATATTCAGTCCGGTTGATGAGTCTCGATTAGGTCGAAACGCGCGTCCTGAATTCCACTGCTAGCCACTATCCATCATTGCTTACAAATACCTTGTGACTTGAGGCAATATCGAGGCATACGCACAGTATGCACATATGCCAATAACAGACTGATCAATTGCAGTCTTAAACCTCAATGGGAAGATACAAGCCAAACAATACCAAGTGAATGTTATTGTCTCCATTTCTACAAGCGACTATTTCTTTACGTCAGTTAACCATCGATAACACACTAAGTAAAGCATGGAACGTATTCTCATCCAGCTGTCCATTCAGAACAAAAAGCAAGATGGATAATAACAAGTATTTTATCATCTTGATTTTTAGCGAATTATATGATCTGCAACTCATGTAACGAATGAACATAGCCTCAGTGACAAATGTGAAAAGAAAATCTGGTTTGCAGTTAGGCGTCATAGATCTACTAACCAATAACTCATTTAGTTCGCGTTTAAACATTAATGTGATGTTAGTTTTGATTAAGGCTCAGACATAATCACTATGATTAGTGAAAGATTAAGGTACTTGATGCTCCGAGCTAATAAACTTTAATATAACAACCTTGAGTTACGTATGACCTCCAAAAATTAATCCCAACTATTATATACCCAGAGAATGAACTTGTAGATTATTCTACAAGGTACTTGACATTCTTGAATTGGGAGAAGGTGGCCTCATGTCATCATAGGGTGGAATTGACATTAATTGCGTAGATAAACAAACTCCTCGCATTTTCTAAGATATTGACATTGTTTATTGATACAGCTTGTTACCGTTTTCTTCCTGGTTGAACTCAGATAACAAGAAAGCCATATCGTCGGTGATTCGTCAGATGATGAGCGCTCTTCTAGCCTACAGATATTTGAACATATTAGAATATCTAAATATATATGATCTTTAGATTGTTTTACATATCACTTATTTATTTATTTACTTAATTACGCCTGTTACCCCTTACTGAAGAGCATGGGCCGCTCACCAGCTCCGTACAATAGGACTGTCATGACGTTTGTATTGAAGATTCTGACTTTGGTATTGGTTGACAGTTGTTTTGAGTTCCATATGTTCTTCAACCGTGGAAATTTTGTCCTTGCTTTGCCAGTCCTCGCATTTACGTCTGCACCAGATCCTCCTCGTTCATCGATGATGCTTCCCAAGTATGTGAAACTTCCCATCACTTTCAGAGTTTTGCCATCAACTGTGATTGGGTTGGTGTTCTCTGTGTTGTATTTGAGCGCCGATTTTATTTACTCTTTTAGGATTATATTCTTTCTATGTCTATTTTTCCACTACAATGAATATTATTATTTCTTGTCGTCGTACTAATGTAGAGTATCGCTGGATAATTATGACAGATTGTAAAGTAATCCATATCTGACGGCTAATCGTTTATCATTTATTTATTCTTCTGTTCACATATATTTTGAACAATTTGTCTGCATGAAATAATTAATGGGTCTATTTTTTTCTGGTTAGTCTTTTTAGCAAGGTTCTTTTTTACAAAATGGGGTTGCTAAACCTCTGCTCTGCTCTAGCTTTCACTATCATTGTATGTTGATCTTATATAAATACCTGAAGAAAGATCCAATAACAAGAGATAGAAGAGCTGGGTCATCTGCAAAGTCCAAATAGTCTATTTCATCCAGCCTGTCCATTGTATTCAGTGCTTTCCCTGAGATATGGAAGTTCTCATAATCCAGTCTACCACCAGAAGAGAAAGGGAGACAGTAAACAACCTTATCTGACTCCGGTTCTCACTTGGAATGCGTATGTTAGCTGTCCTCCATGCACCACTTTGCACTGTAGTCCGTCGTATGAACTCTGGACGATGTTGACTATCCTCTCAGGTACACCATATTGTCGAAGTTTTCATAAAGTCCTCATATCTACACGTTCAATTGCTTTCTCATTGTCAAGGAATTTGATGTATAGTGACGAGTTCCATTCGATTGATTGTTCAACAATGATCCGTAGTATTGCGATTTGATCTGCTCACAACCTATCCTTACGTATTCCAGAACTTGGAGGACAATTGAACCTTTCATTCGGCTCAACAACACTGTTGAAACCTTTTCCTGGTACCGATAGTAGTGTGATTCCTCTATAGTTCTTACATTTGCCCAGATTTCATTTCGTTGGTATCTCGATGAGATATCCTTCTTTCAAGTCTGTTGGAACTTGTTCTTCCTTCCAAATCTTCTTAAATAGAGCGTGGAGCATGTTGAAGTTACCTCTATGTCTGACTTCAGTGCTTTAACTGGTATGTTGTCAGGTCCTACTACTTTCCCACTCTTGATTTGTCTGATGGCCATCCTGATTTCTTCCGTCGTTGGTGGAGTGATATCTATATGGAGGTCTATGTTTATTGCTTCGATGTCCGGTGGATCCAATGGAACTGGTCTATTTAAGAGTTCCTCAAAGTGTTCTACCTATCTGTTCCTCAGTCCTTGAATTTCAGTGATTGGCTTGCCTTGTTTTTCCTTTACTGGTCTTTCTGGTTTACTGTATTTTCCTACGAGTTTCTTCGTCGTTTCATATAGTTATCTCGTATTTCCTTCTCTTACAGCTTTTCCCGCTGTCGTTGCTAGATCTTCCTTATATTTCTGCTTGTCGGCTCTAAATGCTCTTCTACACTTGCTTGTTCGCTTCTGTGTATTCAGCTTGTGCCTTGACTTTCTCTGTTTTTGTTCGGCTGTTGATAATTGCTATCTTCTTGTTCTTCCTATCTTAAATCACGTTCAGGGTTTTGTACACTTCAACAAATTTACATACTTAGGTTATGCATGTTGTATAAAATCTTCCATAAAACTGTCGTTGATTTTGTAAAGGATAATTTTATCCTCGTCGCTTATTACTTATACTTGAAAAAAAGAGGGACTACTACAATCCCCACGACGTGAAGTAAGAACACCAAGACTGGTACAAGTAAAGATTTATTCAACCCAAATCACGATGCGGACGATCCTGGTCGAAAATACACTCATTTATATAGTTATTGTACACCCATTTTTATTATCAATTAGAATCAAGTCACATATATGAAAAAGTACTCAAAGTTATGACAAAACCTTATG